GTAAGAATGCCATGTATAATCAGTGCCTATAACGCTGAGCTAATCAACTTTTGTGTCATCAGTAAGCCTCCCTGGTCAGCCGTGGGCTGTTAGTGGTTGTGTTTTGGAGAGTTCAGAGTCACGGATGGATTCTTACCTGTGCCAGTGGCAGGGTCTCCAGCCCAAACGTTAATGGGTCAGTTGTACCTTCAAAGATACTAATGTGACAGCAGCATCATTATTACACCTGAAAAATCAGTGATTCCTTTAAACATGTAGGTGATGCTAAATATTTTTGACTGTGTGAAATTGTAAAAAAAAGTTCCAGCTTTACGTGGTGTTCACTTAAGTTCCCTGTGCGCCACTGTTGAGGGTCTCTTACGTCTGTAGGTTCCTAATGGTTCCTCCCAACTCCTTTCCCTGTTTCTTTTTTTCCTTTTTAGAATTTACTTGTTAAAGAACCCAGGTCACATCCAGTTGTCCTCAGCTGGTTTGTTGCCTCTTCCCTTCGTGTGGTTGGATGTGTCTGCTGTGCCTGCCTGTTGTCAGGTGAGCCGGGCGTCACGGCCACCTGTTGGGCAAGTGAGGCTCGTCATGGCCCAGCAGAGTGTGCTGAGTCTGCTGTATGGACAGTGCTGCTGATGTCCAGATGCGTGTGGCAGGTGGTTGACTCTGGTTGTGATTAGAGACACTGGCGGTTTACATAAGGGGTTATAAGCAATGATATTCTGTTATTTTATTAACTTGAATATTTGCATAAAAAGAGACCTTAGTTACCCTGAGGTAAAGTTTCTGTAGGAAAATCAGAAGATATACTCGATTCTTCACCTTATTTATCAGACTTTAAGGTAATGAGTGATATCTCTGTTTGTTTGTGCTTCTGTTATAACAGAATGCCCAACACTGGTAATTGTAAGGAACAGTGATTCATTTCTTATGTTTCCAAGGTCAGGGGCCTCCCTCTGGCCAGGGTCTTCCTGCAGTGTCATCCGCCTGCAGAAAGCTGAGGGCAGGAGCAGAGGGGGACGGAACTCACCCTTTACCAGCAGCTCTCCTGAGACAGTGACCTGCTCACCTCTTGAAGGCCCATCTTTCAAACTGAGCTTGGGGGCCACATAAGACCATTCACCTCTAGGGGAATTGATAAGGTTTTTTTTTTTTCCTTGGTCTGGTCTAAAGTACCATGGCGTCATAACTCATAGCAACCTGAAACTCCTGGGATCAAGTGACCTTCTTGCCTTAGCCTCCTGAGTAGCTAGGACTACAGGTGCCAGCCACCATGCCTGGATAATTTTTCTGTTTTTTTTTTTTTTTTTTTGAGACAAAGCCTCAAGCTGTTCTGGCTAGAGTGCTGTGCCATCACAGCTCACAGCAACCTCCAACTCCTGGGCTCAAGCGAGTCTCCTGCCTCTGCCTCCCAAGCAACTGGAACCACAGGTGCCTGCCACAACGCGTGGCTATTTTTTGGTTGTAGCCATCATTGTTTGGTGGACCTGGTGTGGATTTGAACCTGCCACCTTAGATGTATGTGGCTGGCGCCTTAGCCACTTGAGCCACAGGCGCTGAGCCAATTTTTCTGTTTTTTATAGAGGTTGGGGTCTTATTCTTGCTCAGGCTGGTCTCAAACTCTTGGCCTCCAGCAGTCCTCCTGCCTCAGTCTCCAGAGTGTTGGGATTACAGGCGTGAGCTACCATGCCCTTCGGAGTCTCTAATGTATGTCTGTGAGTTCTGGGCTCAAGTCTCTGTCATGCTGCTGTTCTTTGTAGTATGACCCTGTTGACCTTGCAGTTCCCCATGTCCCATGTTGTCCCGTGGGAAGTTCCCCCAGTGACTGATCCCCTGACATGAACTTACTTGCCTTTCACACTTCCTTGCCTCTGTCACCCTGCAAGTCTGTGGGGGACATTTCCTGCCCTGCACCTGGAATCCTATCTTGAGAGAGCCCAGCCCTGTCGGTTCGAAGGGTGGCCACAGGGCGCTCACCGTTGTGGGGTTGGTCACTGTTACTCATCCTCTCCGTGGGCAGAGCAGGAAGGGACTGTGTGAAAATGAGACACTCCATGAGTGCGTGCTGCTCCCTCCAGGTTGAATTCAGCATTATGAGACCGTCACTTCACTGGTCGATCTCGCCTGTCTCCTTGTCCCCACACTGCAAGTCCTGGTTTTTCAAGAACAGCTCATTTCACTCTGGAAGTGGCCGTGTTCATGAGGAGTGTCCTTTTGGAGGTGTTGCTGCTGTCTATTTTAAAGTTACTTGCAATAGCTTAAGGCTTTTTGTTTATTTCTTAAAATTTTTCAGTTTTATAACTCAGAAAATGTAAGCATGGTTTCAAAGTCCGGTTTATAAAACGTCAGAGTCTGACTTCCCCCCTCCCTCACTGCTCCTTCCCACCTCACCCTGGTAACTTTCTAAAAGACTGTGCATCTGGCTTTGTTTAAGTAACCCTTGGAACGCCTCCCTCCTCCTCCTGCGTGGGTGACTGGGTCTTCCTGTGCTATGCGAACTGGGCAACGTGTCCTGTCCTAAGCACTGTGTCCCTGGGTGGCGTGTCCTGTGCTGTACGCGCTGTGTCCCTGGGCGGCGTGTCCTGTGCTATACGCGCTGTGTCCCTGGGTGGTGTGTCCTATGCTAAGTGCTGTGTCCCTGGGTGGCAGGTCCTGCCCTAAGTGCAGTGTCTCTGGGTGGCCTGTTCTGCTTTAAGTGCTGTGTCCTTGGGCGGCGTGTCCTGTGCTATACGAGCTGTGCCCCTGGGCAGCATGTCATGCCCTAAGTGCAGTGTCTCTGGGTGGAGTGTCCTGTGCTAAGGGCAGTATCCCTGGGCGGAGTGTCCTGCCCTCTGGACAGGGCTCGGAGACCTCTTCCCCTTGGAGCTGCATTGTGCTCCATGGTGGTTTCTGTCCTGGCCTGTTCAGCCTATTCCTGTCGGGGTACCTTTGTGTTGTGTTGGAGAGATAAGCCTGAGTTTCCAGCAAATGAAAACAAGGAGTCATATGGTCAGGGTGCTCCACGAAAGAATGTTTGGGCCAGAGAACCGTTCAGCAGACCAAGGGTGCTCCAGCCACACTTGCCATGAACGGGTAGCAGCTGTGAGCACCTGTGTGCCTGCAACACAGCAGTGTTTGGGGTGCAGAGAGTAGTGTGTGCAGGAAGGTGGGAGTAAGCTCAGGAAGGGACACCTGACCGCAGCATGGGGTGTGCCACCTGGGCAGGGCCTGAGTGAGGTCGCAGAGGGCAGATGGCCTCATCAGGAAGCTGACTCCCGACAGACACCAGATGTTATAGCCGGGTAAGTTTCCAAGTCCTCAGGTTAGAAAAAATAATGAGGTAAATCAAAACATAAGAAGGGATGATAAAAGCAGAGTTAATTAAGTAGAAAATATAGGTAGATGAATTAAGAAGTCAAAGTCCTGGTTTTGTGAGAAAATAAACCACAAATTGTTGATTATTAAGCCACATGACTAAAAAGGTGGGATATACAGATAACACACAGTGATCAGGGGAGCAGTCACTGGTGGGGAGGACATTCCAGTGTCGACACGTGTTTACATCGCACACTTGTGTGCAAATAAATTGGAACATTTAATGAAGTGGACAGTTCTTAGGAGAATACAGTTCACCAAAATTGATCCCAGTAAAGGTAGAAGGCTAACGCAGCCCAGTGTCCACTGGGGAGCATGTCCACTGGGGGAAGTGGGGAGCGTGACCAAGGGGTGACCTCAGGGGACACACGGTCCAGGTGGCTTCCCAGGGACACTCCACCAGGCCTGTAGGTCTGAGGTGACCCTGGTGCTCCATGACCTTTGTCAGAATGTAGAACAAGAAGGAAAACTCATGAGATTCTTTCTGTGACACAGAAGTAAAGATGGCACTTACATCTAATAAACACAGAGAAATGATATTCTGTATGTTGATGCAAAAATCCTGTGTAAGATGTCGGAGATCACCCCGGTACCACGGTGAGAGTTTATACCAGGAAATATGATACTCCTTAATAGATGAGGTAGACTGGGGTGGAAAGTCATACGATTATCTTCATAAATGCTGAAAAGGTTTCACAAAATTTAATACCCATTTCTAAATAGAAACCCTTGAGAAAATAGGAATTGATAGATACTTCCTAGATACTTTCTTGACATGGTAACGTGTGTTTGGACAGTTTTAAAACCTACATTATACCAAAAAATGACTAAAGACTTTCCCTGCAGTCAGAGGAAGGCATAGATGCCCACATCTGTAGTACTGCTTACTGAATTATAGGCAGAAGAATTAGAAAAAAGTAGTGAAATAGTATCTATTTGGAGGTAAAATGATATATATATAAAACCCCCTGAGAGTCAATGATAAAACTAACTCAAAAGAATTGGTGGAAGATGTAACGGGTGAGGAATTCGGAACACAGGCCGCAGACAGGAGAGTACACTTAGGGAGAGTCGGCAGCTGCCCTCTGACCCAGGGGCAGTGGGAAGGTGAATCTGACACCTCTGTGCTACATTTCCCAAGCTTGGTAGCCACGCCCAGGTCACGTGAAGTAATGTTCTTACAAGGTACACGCGGGAGCAAATGAGGGAAAAACCTGTGGGATGTGTATGCGGAAAGAGGGACAGATGGGACAGTAGCGCAGGAGACGGCAGGCCAGACAAGGCTGCTCCCAGTTGGAGGACGGTGGGGTGCTGTGCAGCAGAGAGAGGGACAGATAGGACAGGAGCTCAGGAGATGACACGCCGGACAAGGCTGCTCCCAGTCGGAGGACTGGACGGTGGTGGTGGGGGTTGCTGTGCATGTTCTGGGTCTTGTTCCCTTCTTGTAAGTTTGGACTTCTATCCAAGTGAAAACTAAACATGTGTGTGTGTACCTGCTTAAGATGAAACTCTGTATTTGACACCCTTTGATGATGATACTTAAGGGAAAGTTTACAACTAGGGCTGGGATGACAGTAGTGGGTCTGGGGGTCTTCTGCAGGTATTATGTGAAGTTAGCAGTTTTCATATTTGAGTCAGTTTTTCTTTTCTTTTTGTTCCAGGTGAATGAAAACTTTGCCATTGATTTGATAGCAGAGCAACCCGTGAGTGAAGTGGAGAGCCGGGTGATATCGTGTGATGGCGGCGGGGGTGCCCTGGGCCACCCCAAGGTGTACATAAACTTGGTGGGTAGCTGCTGGGCGTGCACATGGCGTGTGGCCTGCCTGTCCTCTGGGCTCATTTGGTCCCCTGCCCTCTCTGCCCAGTGTGCACACTGTTGGCACAGCCCCTCAGCTCAGCCAGGTTGCGGGACCTGGGGTAACAGCCTCTTCAGAGACATTTGTCGTCTGTGAACATGGGTACATGCTGAGCTGGACGGGCTCTGTCGCTCCTTCACCCTTCTCACTCCTGTAGGCGCACACGTTCCTCTGAACCAAACTCATTTAACTCCGGCTGCCATAGACTCCCCCAGACCTCGCAGCTTAAATAGGCATTTATTCTCTCTAGTCTTGAGGGCTGGACGTCTGAGCTCCAGGTATGGGCAGGGCTGGTTGTGCCAAGGCCTCCCCTGGTGTGTGGCCCACACCTCCCCCTGTCTCCCCACAGGCCATGCTCTGTACCCGTGTCCTCGTCCCCGCTCAGTGAGATTGCGTTAGGATGCCCCCTGTGACCTCATTTTTCCTCAGTCACCTCTTTACAGGTTCTGTCTTCAAATATAGTCACTTTTGCGGCTTAGGATGCTAACACGTGACTGGGGGGGGGGCACAATTTATCTTACAGTAGTGCCTATATAATCTTACCTACCTGTTGGTAAATGTCACAGGCCATGGAGAAGAGAGTGCAGGGGACCAAGCCGGAGCCCTGAGGTCGTGTGTGTGGAGGGTGGGGGTAGGGGCAGCAGCAGGCGCTCAGTGGGGCACCTGCTGTTCTGGGTGTTCTTACCGGGCCTGTGGCCAGGATGTGAGACCCAGGCAGGAGCCTGTGGCTGGGGCTTCTGTCCCACAGGCTGTACGGGTTGGGGTGGAGGCAGACGCGTCATTAGCTTAGGTGACGGTGTGTGTCTGTGGTGGCAGTGTTCTCGCTGACAGGTACTTCAAGTTTTATGCCTACTTTCTCCATGTGAACTGTCTCTGTGAGATTTATAGTAGACTATGGATATATGAGATCATTCCTTTTGACTTTTTTCAGGACAAAGAAACAAAAACTGGGACATGTGGGTATTGTGGACTCCAGTTCAAACAGCACCATCACTAGAGTGAGTTGCGCTCACAGGCCTCCGCATGTGCCTGGGGACGGCAGCCTGAAACAGTTTCTGGACCACCCGTTCTGGACCAGCATGTCCTGGTGTTGAATAAAGGGAGGTGCTGTGAAGGCTGATGTTGGTATGTTTCTTTATTTTGTAGAATGAGCGTCTGAAGGTGAATATTCCCTTAGACGTGAGACTTGGAGCCGCGTCTGTCCCCTGCAGTGTGACATGTGTGTGTGCTGTTCCCTGCATGCTGACCACGTGGGCTGCCCTAGGGTCACCTCTCACCTTGGGGCCATGCAGCAGCTGTCACTCAGGAGAGGGGTGTCTGCTGAGTTTGCACCACCTAGGGCACCCAGCAGGTGCAGTGATGGCTGTCCCTACTGGCTGTGCTTGCCCAGCTCTTACCGGTACACAAGACTCTCCTAGCTTAAAACCATGTTCACATGTAGGGCCTTCACTCAAGAGTGTGAAGTATCTGTTTGAAGGTATTGAAAGTCACATACTGGCCAAATTAAAGGCGATCTGCATTATTTAAAGGAATAAGGATTATAATGTAGACTGACACGAAAATAAACGGAGTCATGAGGGAAGGGATGGGAGGTTTTCTTGAAGGATCCAGGAGCCCAGTGAGTGGGCAAGTGGTGCTTCCAGAAGGCAGAAGTCATGAGACAGGGACAGTGGAGGCAGGAATTAAGCAAATGATAGAAATTTCCTGAGCTGAAGAAAACCCCAGAGATCACAGGGCACAGGAAGTACCCAGCAAATGGGTGAGAAAAGACACAACTGGGTGTGTTTTGGTTAAAAGAAAAAAAGGATTAAGCTCCAAACTTTAGAGTCTAGAACAGCAGTTCTCAACCTGTGGGTCATGACCTGCAGACACTGTATTAAAGGGTTGTGGCATTAGGAAGGTTGAAAACCACTGGTCTAGAGAAAAGGAAACTTTCGATTTCTAGACAAAAGAACACATCATCATATGAAGCTGTCAGAGCAGCAGCCCACGCCATCTTCCATGCTGGATGCCAAGAGCCCTGAGCACAGCTGCGTCAGAGTCGTCGTCTTGAGAGTGTCAGTGGATGGGCTGGTGGCCCCGAGCACAGCCCTCAGCGAGTGGCAGGGGCACTTACATAGAACTTACCCGATGTGGGCAGGGCTGTGCTTGATGTGGAATTTGGGGGATTCCTTCCTGTGTTTCTTAATGTTATTACAATAAATGTGTTAAACCTTTTCCCATATAAAAGTTTACATGGGGAAGTAATATTCTTACCTATGTAAAGGACTGTGAATCTCAGGAGGAATCCAGCATCACCCATGAAGTGAAGCATCTCAGCCTCCTTACTGTTTACAAAACCTTGAACTGTGGTATCTCTTGGTCTTTGGTCCCTGTCTTGGGTGCAGGCTCTGAAGTAGATGATGGGGCAGCAGTCAGCTCTCTAAGCCACTTACCCCAATGGTTCTCTGTCAAGGGCACCAGACATCCTGGCCCTTGGCCCTGTAGAGTGTCAATGTCCTCCCCCTGTGTCCCCAAGGCAGAGAGGGCAGGTTCTGAGCTGCTAAGCAGTGACACGTGTCATTTCCCCAGACACTGTGGGCTCAGGAGGCCCCTAGAAGTTGTTCTGGGGCTCTGCCAGCTTCTAGCAGGTGTGGCTCCCTTTGACCTTCTGTGGCCGTCCATGGCTGTGCTTGGCTGTGGCTGTGTTGCTTCAGATCTCTGCCTCAGTCTCTACACGGCCTTCACATGGCCCAACAGACACCAGCCTTTGGATTCGGTGCCCACCCTAGTACAGCATGACCTCATCTTAGCTAATCTCACAGAGACCTGATTTCCAAAGTCACATTCTGAGGTTCTTTGCAGACATGAATTTGGAGGACACTCCACACCCTCGTAGGACAGCGAGGTTCACAGTTCTCCCTTTTTTTTTTTTTTTTGAGATAGAGTCTCACTATTTTGCACTCAGTAAGTAGAGTACTGAGGCATCACAGCTCACAGCAACCTCAAACTCTTGGACTTAAGTGACTTGCTTGCCTCAGCCTCCCAAGTAGCTAGGACTACAGACACCCACCACAATGCCCAGTTATTTTTTATTTTATTTTTTTGTTGTTGTTGCATTTGTCATTGTTTTAACTGGCCCAGGCCAGGTTTGAACCCACCAGCCTTGGTGTATGTGGCTGCGACCCACCCACTTAGTTACGGGGGCCACCCCTCACTTTTGATGTAACCTTTCTCACTACACTTTCTCCAGTGGTCTAAGAATTGTGGGGTCACTGCTGGAGGCAAGGTGGGCAATTGGGCAGGAGGCTGGAGCTGCCTGGATGTGGCCAAGGCCTGCCTCGGGCCAGGTGAGACTACTTGGGGTCTTGTAAGGGCTCCAGCCGGGGAGGTGTGGACAGAGAGTGCTGTCCTCAAGTGTGGAGCTAGAAAGGATGTAGAGATTTTCCCCCTGTGAAAAAATTCCCGAATAAACCCAGAAACTTGGGTAATTTGCCTAAGAAAGTTAACAAGTTAATTGCCATTTACCAGTTAATCTTGAGACATAAAAATGCAAATAACTTCAATGGCCAGATGGGAGAAAATGAAAAGCTATTAAAATGTGAGCACTCACGCCTATGATTTATCCTATTAGGGTACGTGTGATTTTTGTCTAAAGGTCGAATATAAATGTCTTAACATAACAATTATGAGAAAGACACAATGGCTATGTTAGCCAGTTGGATGAGAGTTTTTCAAACTGTATATGGAAGCAACACACTGTATCCTATGATAGAATTAATGGACACAATTATGATCTAATAAATTTTTAAAAAAATGTGAGCACTTGAAAGCAGAAACTGGGTCCCAGTTTAGGTCTGCCTGCCTTCGGAGGTAAGAGGGGGTGTCCAGTGAGTGTCAGGGCTCTCAGAGAGGAGGTGTCTGGTGTGTGCCAGGGCTCTCAGTGCTTCACAGGGAGCCGAGTAATTAATTGTACCACAGGGAGAGGAGGGACAGTTGGAAAAATCTTACACTCCCTGGGGTGGGCTGTGTGCCCAGCCCTGCCTGCCAGCCAGCCTGGGAGGCCACACTCCTAGACTAGTTTTCAACTGAGAAGACAGGTGAAGCTTCTGTCCAGGTGTGCAGTTCTGGGAGCCCAGCAAGGAGCCCTTAGCCATCTGTCGGGACAGTCTTGGTGCACAGGCCCAGTGGGGGGACCTGACCCCGCCCACAAACTGTGGGACCAACTTTCCTTTGGTGTTGTTGAAGACCTAAGTAAAGAGCCACTACATGACTTGATGAAGAGGAATGTGTTACTCGTCAAAAGTAGCTGGTTTATGCAAATTGACCAAGGGCTTGACAAAAAATAGACAGTTTTATCCATGCCCACCTGTAGTATCATCACCTTGCAACACCTGTCTGCTCTGGCAGGTGTCTGCAGGCTTTCAACATCTCATGAGGCAGATGCCTGCAGATGGCCCCTGCCCTTAAAGCCAGTTGCTCACTGGCTCCCAGTGCAACCCAGCTGGGAGGACACACAGGACAGGTCCAGAGGGTGTGCATTGGCTGGGCACAGCGTATAGCCTGTGATGACAAGGCCGTGTTCTCCCAGATTCTGGAAATAGGCCTGGCCAGACTGTAGTTGTCACACCACTGGTCTGCGTCCATCACCAGCTGTAGGTGACCTGGCACGTGGAAGGGTGGGAATGGTGGATGGGTTTAAGATGGGAGGTCAGAGGGTCCCACCTGGCCTGACTGCCACCAGGATGGTGCTCCCTTCCCTGTGGCTGCAGAAGTGTGTGGCAGAGGCACCCACCTTGGTGCCAGGGCTGACCTTGGCCTCGGGGCCCCTATGCCCATGGGGATGACAAGCTTCCAGAACAGAGCCTGGGGATACCACGGAGTTGGAGGCACCAGAGGGCAGGTGCAGGAGAGGGAGCCAGACTCATGTTAGTGGCTGGGGCTGCTATCACTTGGGTGTCCAGTCTAAGGCATTCCTGGCCTGACCCTTGGGGTGTGGCCTGAGGGAGGAGTCACAGAACTGGACCCCAAAGTGGAGTGGCTGAAGCCAAGTGAGCTGCACCTGTGGCCTGTCCTCTGGCTACCCTGTGTCCCCCCTCCATGAGGCCTGTGAACCTCCCCTTCAGTCGTCTCATTTCATATCAAAAATGAGGAAGTCCAAAAATGAATGACCGTGTGCTGTGTGTGGTCCCTCCGCCCCTGACCACATGCTGTGTGTGGTCCCTCCACTGCTGACTGTGTGTGGTCCCTCCACCCCTGACCACATGCTGTGTGTGGTCCCCCCATCCCCCCACTGCATGTTGTGTGTGGTCCCTCCATCCCCTGACCCCATGCTGTGTGTGGTTCCTCCATCCCCTGACCACAGGGTGCGTGTGGTCCTTCCACCCCCGACTGCATGCTACCACCCCTGACCGCATGCTGTGTGTGGTCCCTCTATCCCTGACCGCATGCCGTGTGTGGTCCCTCCATCCCTTTAAGTCTAACAGTGAAAACATCTGTCTCCTGCCTGAGAGCTTTATTGGAAATGGATATTAATGTCATTGTAATAAACATTAGGAAACCTAAACATGGTTTAGTTGCTCCAAGGATGCTGGGATCTAAGGGCAGGGCCTGATTCAGCTCCCAGACCACCTGCAGCAGGTCCAGGATGGCCTCAGATGAGGCTTGGAGAACACAGAAGTCACTGGGATACTGACAGGAAGGGGCAGACCAGGCCGGGCAGTGGACTGAGGGCAGCATCCTCCCTCTGCCATTCCTCTGCCAGCCAGAAAACTTTTGCTAAAGTCTGCCCCTGGGCCCTGGTATGACCTCAGGGACAGTGGTGCAGGAGGCTCCATTGCCCTGACAGCTCGCTCCCTAGACAGGCCTGCGGGCTCTGCCTCCGGGCTTGTGATCTGCCTGCCCAACAAGGGTGATGGCACAGCATGGCCCCTGGGCCCGTGTCTCAAGGCCCTCAAGCTGCTGGTGCCCTGATGTGTTTGTGGTTTCAAGGCTGGGGCCACATGGACTACAGCTGTTGTAGCACAAGTGCAGGGGCTCTCTTGACTCGGGCAGCTGTCATAGCACAGGTGCAGCCCACAAGAAGACCTCCGGTGGAATTTTCCACCCCTAGGTGAGGGGACCATAGCCGGACTATGGGGG